GCCTTCCAAAAGATGTTGTAGAAAGTTATATTTCGGCCTCATCTTGTACATGAGCTGTCCATGCTCATGCGCACGTACTGCCAACTGCGTATATCCATCGAAAAAAATCTTCGCGAGCACTCGAACTTGCTCCCAGGCCTCATCACTTAAATAGCAGCCAGACCCATACAGAAACTCGCAGATACGATTGGCCACCCATACAACAGCCGCCAAGCCGTCGTGGGGTGCCGGCGGCGGCCTTTCCACAAGAAATGTCGCCAACCACGCACTGTCGGCTGCAGAGCCTTTGAATTCAGGACACTCAGACCATCCCAGGGAGTTCTTCGAGAGCTTTTTGATCGAAATCTGTTGCTTTGTTTGTTTTGCAAAAACCTTGACAGCTGCAACGATTTGTTTCAGTCTCGCATTGATATTTGTCCCTGAAAACCAGTACTTGCCGGTGGCGATGATTTTCAGAGCTGTACCCACAAGGTCACGAGCCACACCCAAATGAAATGTGTGCATGTAGTCGATCCTGATCATGGATAGCTTGAAGTAGGGAAGTTTGGCATAGGCAGGCTCTTCTTTCCAAGGCAGTTCGAAGTTGCCATCCTCATGCATCGTTCCCCGCCACCCAGCTGCTTCTGAAACATCAGTATATACAGTATTGAAATTTTGCCGCCCCATACTGGCCTCACAAAAGAAGCAAACCTGCATTGGATAGGAATAAGCACAAGAAATAGATTACCAGCCTCACTATAGGATTCGTATACAAGTTGTATAGGTTTTAAAGCTAAAAGCCCAAGCGCCCCCACAAACATTGGAACAACAAAAATCCTTAATGAACGATCCTGCCATGTGCGGCCTTTGGGCCTTTTCGGCGCCCGGCTTGCGGGTGAGGTTGAAGGCCTGGCACATCTGTTTCAGGTCACCTCTGAATCCCACGGGAATGAAGTAGTATACCTGAACAGGGAGGATTGGGGTCCGACAATTACAGAGTGAGCTTGGGGGGCTGGTTTAGACACAAAGCACCTCGTCACCCACCTGCACACCTTCTTGGCTCAGCTTGTTGAAGTCCACGACAATAGCCGAATTCAGGGTCTGAAGTGTTACATTCGTCTTGCCCCGCGTAAGGTAGCTTTGCACCAATAATGAGTACATGATGTTGCGGGAGGCTTTCGAGTCAGTGCGGCATTTGCCGAGATCTGCTGTCCTATACATAATCAGAGGTTTGAGAAGCCCTGCACAATACTTGGACACTATTATAGTTTATAACAGGATAAAAGCTATGCAGACCATGCAGTCAAAGTCAAAGTTCCACGTAGCCAACATCCATGAAGTACGGTTGAGCGTCGCTTCATCGCCCCATATGATTATAGGAATGCAACGATGATACAAATCAGGGCGCCCGTCCAACAAAGGAATACTCAACTCCTGCAGTGTTGCCTCCCAGTACTGCTCCAGCTCAGCTCTGCAGAGGGGATCATCGTGCTCAAGAAACCTTCTTGCAGAAGGCACCTCGCCTTGGATCAGGTTTAGGGTTGAGGGTTTTTGGGTTGTGGAGTCAAACACATTGGCTTTATATGTGGGTTCAGATCGCACCCAATGTTAAAGAACTTGCATGTGTATACCTCATAAAGATCGAGAAACGAGGTTGGAAGGAAGAAGAATCGGGAATGCTTGAATGATCTCTTCCTCCATATCGTTCAATGCTGGGGCATTAATCCATGTCAGCTCGCAATCGAAAGACGTGCCCGTTCCAGATAATCGGGAATGAAACTCGGCCTCTCGTAGAGGCCTGCTGCTGTATCCATCCAATAATCGGAATCCATAGCCATCTCCTTAGGACTGTGGTTTGGGGTTTGATTATAGGGGTACGTATTTTTGTGTTTCGTGGTCTAGATAATGTTGCAATTAATCAGAACCCCAGCAATGCTAGCAAGGCACCCAGATCACAGGCAACAGTCAATGACGTGTCACCAGCACAAGTGGCTCGAACAAGCCTCACACAGGGAGCTTGAGGATTCTAGTTTCAATCTAAGTGGACTTTTCTAGAGTGCAATGAAGTATTAGAGGTGTAGGGGCAAATAGAGTTTGGGGTTATAGAGTTTGGGGTTATGGCTTTGGTTATATAAGATCAAGCAGCTTCTGATCGAGGACATCGGCCATCGCCGGGGCAGACTTCGGGGCACCTGCGCGGCACAAGAGATGAGGGGCTACTGCAAATGTCAGATTATATCGACAGCATCTTTCGGGTTGCAGATCCTGCTTGTTTTGGCCCCGGGGAATTGCTCGAGATTGCACACTATCCACATACATTTGCATATGCAATTAACGGGGCAGATTTGCCCACTTCACTCGCACCCCAAGACCCCCTGCTCTAAAGCACTCACCTGCATGCAATTTCACACAGGTAAAACACCTATCAGGAGGATCATCGTCAGACCCACCGAGTCTCTGCTGCCTTTTTTTGGTTATGAAGATGAATTCCCCCAGCAGTATATAACAGCACCCCTATAGTCTGGGAAAGCAGATCTCGGAGGTCCTGGCTCCCCTGACGATCGGCACAGATGAAGCCCACAGTACTATATATAGCACAGCCCATAGCTCCAGCGGCATCTTGTTAAAGACCTAAATTCTATATTGCACTGCACCGATCGTTGCCCTACCAAGAAGACTCAGCCCGAGCGTTTGCTCAGCTCCTTCATGTAGCCTTTTGCTTGGCCCTTGCACAGCTGAAGGCTCTGAACCTGGGCCGAGACACAAACTCCAACCCCACAATAGACTGGCCCTAAACCCCGTATGCATCAAGCCCTACAATCGAACATCCAGCAGAGGCTCAAGGCTAAACAACGGTTTAAACCACTGCGGTCCCAAGGGGCTTCTTCGTGAATCTTCGAGCACTGATCATCGATTGCTGCGCTCTCGGCGGACGGATCGAGCTGGTTGAACCTCGGCCAGTCATTTTGGGGCAGTTGGGATTCCGATTGGCAACAGTTCATGACTAGTAGCTTTTTGGCCATGCTCTTGAGCTTCTTCTCATGGCTTTTCAAGTCCTTCACAAGCCTTGTACCATCCTCATCGAAGTCATCGCCGAAGTCCATGAGGAGGTCGTTGATGGAGTTGATGTTCTTTTTGATCTCCTTGCCTTGGATGACAAACAGAGACAAGAGTTTAGGGCTTAGGGTTTTAGGGTTTGGGAGTTCGGGGTTTAGCATTTAAGGGGTTTTGGGCGATTGCACAACATGACAAAACTGTAAGTGGAAACACCAACACATATGTGCTAATTAGTGGCACCACTTGGAATGCTTCTCTTTGGGGCAGTTAAACACCTCGTTGATCAAGCTGGTCTTGACCGTCGTGGCAAGCGAGCCCGCTACCGAAGCGGCCCTGCGTGAACCAGCCCCCGATTGCCCTCGGCGGTTGTTGTTGCGGCCTCCTGCATACATATTGATTTATGCAAATTTGCACAACTGAGCACATGGGGTTTGGGAGCACAGGCTTGAAAGCTTGATGGTTAAACATTGATTACACAGTCCTGCATTCGAACTCGCGTTAGCTGCAATCTGGCTCATCGAGTCTTTCAACCGATCATGAGCCCTCAGGACGTCAGCTTTCAGCGGTGCCGACTGGGTGGCCGCCGGGGCTTTCTTCGAGAGCAGGCCGGGATCAGCTCCAGGAATAGGTGCATCAAAGAACGCAGTGCCGGGCTTGCAGTTTGCAGAAAGATCCTGATTGATCCTGGGATCGACACAATATATGTATAAGGTTTCATTGAGTCATGGTGCATGCAAGCGACCTATCCAATAAGCAGAGCTAGCATCATAGGCATCCGAGGCTCCTATAATCAGTGCTTTCCGTCTGCGTCCTTTGCACGACAACCCAATACAAGGTATCCTCTAAGGAATCCGGCGCTTGTTCATCCTTTTCCCCCAGTTGTGTCGCAATGATATGTTGCACTTTGTTCCTTGGACCAGGTTCTCATGCAGCAGCACACAAACGGGTGACACACATGCTCTCATACAACAAACTGCTACTCATGCAGGATCAGCATGCTGATGGATGCGCCGAGAGTCTCGCTGAAGTTATGTGGGGGAAGGGACATGGCTTTCACTGGGATCTGTGCCCAGACTTTCTTGCCTTTAAGGGCTTGCTCCTTGCTGATCCGGATCCGAGACTTACACGCTTGCAGGTTCATGCCACAGGAAATCCATTGTCGTAGCAAGCGGTTCTTCTCCTTAGCAAGCACAGATCTACTGTAAAAGCATGCACATAGATCACTTCCGTACATGTGCACACAAACACACACCGTAACAGCTCAGTCGATGCAATCGTGTGGCAGCAAGCACGGTGCCCTCGTGCAATGCCAGCATGTTGGGGTAGTCGGCCAACGCACCAGATTCATAGCGACGATTCTTAGATTGCAGATGCACATTATATTGCATACATACCGACCGAGAACATAACCACATAAGCTGATCCAAGCGGCCAGTTTCATATATTCTTTGCGGTGGGTCCGCGAGTTCACCCGGTCATCCTCTGCAAAGTCATCGCCACCAAGGTTATCGACACCCATGGCCGCGCCCGATGGCCTTGGCACTGGAGCAGCCTGGGTCTTGACCGTCACACCATTGAGGACTGCCAAGCTCGGCCCAGTCGTGGAATGAAACACAGGCTCCTTAGATCTCGTCGGGGTGGCCTCAGGCTCCTTAGATCTCGTCGGGGTGGCCTCAGGCTCCTTAGATCTCGTCGGACTGACCTCAGGCTCCTTAGATCTCGTCGGACTGACCTCAGGCTCCTTAGATCTCGTTGGGGTGGCCTCAGGCTCCTTAGATCTCGTTGGGCTGGCGAACTCAAGCTCCTTAGATCTCACTGGCGTGGCCACACAGGTCTTGCGGGCTCGGGTTTGACCTCGGTTTGCCCAGACCCACGACTGCTGCCACTGATTTGGCTTTCAAGCTCGGCTTTCTCATTCTCAAGCTGCTGCACCCTCAAAAGGAGCTGCTGCATATCTCCGAGCTGGCTGGCTGAGGGACCGATCCTTGGCCGAGAGAAGTTGTTCTGAGCATGATTGCACATCTCGATCACAGACACTCATGCAGTCATGTAGCTCTACATAAATTTGGATGCGGAGAAGCCACGACAACGTGGACTGTGAATCGGTTCTGACAGGCGCTGCGTGGCTGGCCTGCTGACACCGAAGCTTGGCTTGAGAAGCCAGGAAGGTAGTCCCGGACCTCATTTCAAGCAAGGATCGCTTCGTCTATTTGGAATGGTTTGATATAAGTAGACCACTGCATCAATTCATTGCAAGCCAAAATACAGCTGGCTCATCTGACTGTCGTCCCCGTTGTCTTGCTCCTGCAGATTGTTCACCATCATGTTTCTAAATTAAAATATCATATATGACTCACTATAGCATCTCCTTCAAGGCCATAGGGTTCTCAGACTTCGGCAGCTCGCTCGTCGGGCTGGCCGGTACCATCTGCACTGCCGGAAGCTCCTTGTGCTTCTGGCGATCGGCCTCCAACTCACTCAGCTGCGGTAGTCCCTGGCGCCACAACTCATATTCACACCAGATATCATCTTCATCATCATCACCGGCATCCCAGTCCCAATCATCAGAAATGGGCTGTGCGGGCTCAGCCGGCTCGGGGGGGCTTGGCAAAGCCTGCGGGGCTGGTGAACTCTTGCGCATGATTCGCCTGGCTGGCACAGCTTCGGTGTCATGCTTTGAGAGGTCTGAGTGTGCCCTTCCTCGCTTCAGCTTTGGGACAGGCTCGGCTACATCGGCTTCGGCGGTTTTTCCTCGCTTCGACTTTGGGGTTGGCTCGGCTGCCTCGGCTTCGGTGGTTTTTCCCCGCTTCGACTTTGGTGTGGGCTCGGCTGTTCGGGCCTCCAAGCTTCGTCCTCGTTTGGACTTTGGGGGCTCCTCACTGGCCTGCTTTGCTCTGCTGGGCCTAGCCTTTGGGGTGACTTGGTTCTTCTCAGCAGGACTTTCAGCAGGCTCTGTTCCCTTGGACGTCTTGCTTGAGGCCGGGCTCGAAGGCTTGCTCGTTCTCTTCGTTTCCTGGAAGGCCAAGTACACAGTCACGGCCTCTTCATAAGTGAGCTTCTCGCTGTCCATCAAAGCTTTGATGGTCAGCCCTCCTACTCCCACTTCTGTGTTCAGGGGGATCGAGGGAGGCTTCCACTTGGCAGGCTTCGATGACACATTGTTCTTGACATCCGCTAAGGCCGCCCTCAACTGCACACCATTCTTCAGAGCATCACGTGTGCCCTTGTAGGGGCCCATGGCAAACAAGCAGCAGATATATCTGCTGCTTTAAAAGTAAAGAGCTGAGACAGCTGTGATCATCATGTGGCACATGCATTGCATTTGTCAGAAAGTAGAAAGGCACAAATATCACACGTTATAACGCTCATTTGGGCTGTTTATAACGTACATCGGCACGGTTTTTCACGCTGCACTTTTGGCACGACCATGGCTGACACTTCAGAGACAGGGCAGAACCCAAACAAAGCCCCCTAGGATGTCCATGTGTAGGCCCCATATATCATTTGATTGCAGTCTAGATCATGCAAGTCGAGGGCAACATGTGTGAACCGGCACACATGCAAAGCCTCAATTAATTGATCTGCTAG